CTAGATGGTATAGATGACCTAGATGGTATAGATGACCTAGATGGTATAGATGGTATAGATCAGGGGTGTCAAACTCCAGTCCTCGAGGGCCGCTATCCTGCATGTTTTAGAGGTTTTCCTGCTCCAACACACCTGACTTTGATGGCTGGGCGATAACAGGCTTCTGCACAATTTGAAGAGTTAATTCAATCACTGAATCAGGTGTGTTGGAGCTGGAAAACCTCTAAAACATGCAGGATAGCGGCCCTCGAGGACTGGAGTTTGACACCCCTGGTTTAAACAGATGTTTTAAATTAATCGAATGTAAGAAATTTTAAACTAATACATTATTTGACAATTAATCGTAAGTCAATTAATTGTTTGCGTCCCTTACTACAACACTAATATTTGGTGCACACCCTGCAAAACGATAGTTCTGACTATTCACAAGACAGGCATCAAGGGTGGGGCACGAAGAAAAAGGTGCAATTTTTGTCATTCAATCACATCAAGGAGACACATTTGTGGCAATTCAACAGGTATAAAACAGGCTTTTAGGTTTTTTAATAAACATTCTGGATCTTTTTAACCATTAATAGTGACAACTGGGTGAAATATTATGATGGAAATAGAGTGGGGGAAATAGTTACAGGTGAGACTCAAATGTAGGCCAGCTTTGATGCAAACTCTCTTATCAACTATGAAGGACCCACAGCCACCTCATATAAAAAGGTATTTAAAAGCAAGTGGCCTCACCAAAACCCAGTGGCTGCCCTCCTATACGAACCATCCTCCACAGCTCCCCGGAGGAGCTGGTGAACAGAAGGTCGGCAGGAAAACTGGAACAAAGAAAGATTTTATTTTAACCCTGTAGAAAATGCAAACACGCATCACACTGAGACAGAGATAACACTTCTGTAACTGCTGCACTGCAGGATCTCATCAGCAGAAATATAAATAAATAATCTGTACATTTATTTCCATTTGGTATCAGTGAGGAAAACCATCGATTTATATTCCAGAGTGATGTCTTGTCAGTTCTGGTATTGGTGAAACTGCACTATCAATATGAAACAACCGTCCTTACCGTCTCTGAGCCTCAGTGTCCATCACCAATGAGATGTATCCGTCGATGAGGGAGAAGGAGAAAAACTGAATACAGTCCAAATCCTGGTTTGCAGACAACTGGCTGTCTTCTTTAGGACTAAAAATAAATAAAATTAGTCAGTGTGACAGTAGAGACAATGCCACTTTTATTCCTGTTTTTAATTTATACACATTTTTTACATGGAGTTGGTAATAAATTACAAAAAAAAAAATTCCTGTACAATACAATATTTTATTTTTATATACATTTTTATTCAAAAGTAATCACATCAGGACACCGTTTGTCAACTTAATTTTAAAAATTAACACTTAAGCAAACAATATAAAGTTACAATATTCCATCATTCAAAAAATGGACTGAAACTGAAAGTTTCAAAGCTCTTTAATGACAAGTGTCTCTGAGCTCCTTATTTGATGCTTCAGTGCTGCCCCCTTGTGCTACAGAGCGGTACTGCTGCGGTGTGAACAAACAGCATCTCACCTGTTGGAATAAAAGAGGACGTCGATGAGTGTGGTGGCGATGGACGGCAGCGTGTCCGGGTCCAGAGACATGACACAGAACTGGTTCTGAGGGATCAGCACCGGATGAACCGTGGGCTGGAGGGCTGAAAGAAAAAAAACCACAACAAAACAACTAAATGTGGTCTCAGTTCTAAACTGTTTGTTTAGTTTTTCTGTTGAGTGAAGTAACTTTGATGTAAATTCTACAAATATTTTTATTATTTTTTTAATTAACATTCTATATGCATGCAGAGCATCAAATATATATTCATTTCTACAGGAGTAGATTTATTCTAAAAACAAATAGAAATTTAGAACCTGTTTGTAGATATTTTACTTGTTTTAAAAGCAACTAGAAAACTCACTCAGGATCTTTGTTAGACCAAAATCAACCCAGAAATGTTTCGAACATCATTAAGTTTTGTTTTCTGCAGTCACATTCCTCCCTGTAGGCAAATATCTGTAGAGCTTTGCTTCATTTTTAAAATTACCTTTTAGTTTCAGATTTTAACAATGCAACAGAGTTGCTTCAGTCATTTAAACAGAAGTTAGAGCTACTTTGCAAAGTAAAAACGTGCAGCTAGTTGATCAAAAGTTCCCATGTGTTCAACTAAAAATACATTTTAGTTTTCGATGATGATGAAATATTACAACATTTGAAGTGCACAGTGCTGACAGGTTGTGTAAGACGTCATTCAGGATGTTGTGAGTCCACTGCATGTCAGGGTCATGCAACCCAGTGCAGCTCAACGGCTGTTATGTGCTTTCATTACAAAGCAAACTCAGTCCAGATCTGTCGTTTGTAAAGACATATTATTCCTGAAATCAGTCCTTTTTTAACAAGTTAAAATTCCTCCAACAATGTCTTAAGGCTCTATAATAACTTGACTTGCTTGATCAGCAGGTAATAAAATAAACTAAAGAATCGGGTGATAAACTGCACCTTCTTTGCCGTTCTTCTGGAGGCCGTTGGAAACATCCTGACAGTGCACAGGGACCGACTCTCCCTCCACCTCCTTGTAAATGTTGAACTCCTCCTCCAGGGTGCTGATGACCACAGACAGGTCTTTTTCTCTCACCTGCACAGAAAAAAAAACGAGAGAATCATTTAGTAAAGTGTCACATTGTTGATATGATTTTTCCCCCTCATCTTCCCTTGTGTGGTTTTTAGTTTTTCTGTTGTTAAAGGTAGCGCAACTGTGTTTGCTGCATGACCGGTTTCACCTGTTCCCCCATGTTTGCCTTGTATGTCTTCTTGAATGGGTGTTTCTTAAATGCCCCCTCCCCGCTTCCCTGAATGTACAGCACCTTGTGAATTTATTTCTGTGAAAGACGCTAAATAAATAAAACTTTACTTTACTTACTTACTTACTTACTTAAAAAGGCAGTGGTGGGCAGCACTAATCTAAAACTTAGTTACACCAACCCTAAAACACTAACTCAAATATTTAGGTCCCCTAATTCTAAAGCATTAATGCACTGAAAAATTTAGCAAAAGCTAATTCTAAAGCACTAAAATAACCCAGTTGACCCATGGAACATTTTTCAGAGTCAACATGAGGCAAAATTTACTGTGTGCAGAATATTGTCAATAATCAATGTAAATATGTCACCTATAAGTTTCACACATATGAACAAAATGTGTGACAGCTTTCACCCTCAGCTGTGAACAATAATGTTGATCAATAACATTTATAACAAAGTTAGTGCTTCTAGATTTAGCAAGTGCTAATCCACTAATGAATTTAAAAAAATTGCAAAAGCCCTAAAGCACTAATCAGGAAATTAGTTCCCCTATTAGTGCTTTAGTGCTTTAGGGCAGTGTTTCCCAAAGTTGGGGTCGGGACCCAAAGTGGGGTCCTGAAACATCAAGGTGGGGTCCTGAAA